CTGCCTAGCACCCATAGCAGCTCATCAGAGGGTCAGGTTATGGTCTCTCATTAGACTTAATTTTAGAAGGGTGTAGAGTTAGGGTGTATGATGTTACGAACACTCCAAGGGAGTTATCGTCTTACCTGGAGGTGGAACGTTTGAGAGGATGAAGTCATCGACACTTTACTGTAGAGAATAACTTCTGCAACAATTAGTGTCCGCGATACTTCTGCCTGAGTGTGTGTTAGGTGCAAGATCACCCATGTTCACTTCTGGAGTGTCTGTTCGTGTGCACGGGTAGGAAGTAGATCCCTTGTCTTGATGGTGGGGGGAATGAGATGAGATAGTTACAGATTGCGTACCTCGAGTGCGCAGTAAGCAAGAGAGGGAAAGTCCCGTATTGTCGGTGAGGTCGCATGCAGTGTTGCGGTCGAATAGCGGAGCAGGCTAACTTCATTGTATATAATTGTTTGTGGTTGCAACATTTAGGTAGGGTGATGGAAGGGGTAATGAGGAAGGCGTATTTCCGATTTGTTTTTGGGCGTGGTTTGCTTTGATTTTTTTTAGGAAAAAGGGTTTTTTTGTCGTGCGAGGTGGTGGAAGGGAGGAACGTTTTCGGTCGTGGCTACTAAGGTTAGAAGATTTGTATTTGCGCGTACGTTTGTATGGGTCATGGTGTGCGTAGCGGGTCATAGTGTGTAGCTTACAGTTCCTCAGTAAGCAGGGGTATACTGAGAATTGTAGCTAATAAGTCTTTTAGTGGCTTTGTACGGCCCATGTTATGACATAAATTCTGTAATGCAATTTATCCTTATTTGATGTGCCAATATACTTGGAAGCACCTCACGAGTATTTGTCTTTCTAAAACCATTTTTGCGGGGTGTTTTTGAGGCGGTGTTGTCGTTTGTGTTTACCATTCCGTCAATATATGCGTCGCTTCGTTTTTTTTTTTGTTTTTTTTTTTCTCGTTTTCTCATTTTTGTTCGTTTTTTTGTGTGGTGTGCTTACACAGTAGCGGAGTGATCGTGGTCTAATTAGTCTTTTAGTGTATTAGCGCTTGCTCATGTTGTGGCGTATTTTTGGGGATGTGATTTGTCCTGCCCCATCGTGCCAATCTGCTTGGAAGTGTACCACGAGTTTTTGTCTATCCAAAAAGTCCTTTTCCGCGGGGTGATCTTGAAGGAGGCTTGCCGTTTGTCGTTTATTAGTCCGCCATCATCTGTATTTGCTCGTTTTTTTAATGGTATGCAAAAAGTGAAAGAAAAGCGTTTTTTTTGTGTGTATATGAGTCTCTGTCAGGGTGTGCGTCCCATAATTTTATGTTTTTTTTTAGAATTTAGTGCACATTTCCCGAGGGGGGAGGTTGTATTGTGGAAGTTTTGTGGTTGGGTTCTTGCGACCAGGATTGTCACAGCCTCGGCCCCCAGCCCCGATGGTTCGTTGCGGTGGTTCCCCTAACCCCGGCCTGGGAGGGGCAAAATATATATATATATATATATATAAACCGTAGGCAGAGAGAGAGAAGAGGACAACAAACGAGGGGCTGTGGCAAACTGTTTCATCGGAGTTTCACCGACTCATTAGGAGGCTGAACCCTCAACAGTCTGCAGAATCCCCTCACTGATTGCACTGTAAATGATAATCTACCTTAACCAAAATCAAAGTAGACTATCACTTACCCACACCAGATGGAAAACTCTACAGACTGTCGGTTCACACCCCATCACAAGCCAGCAAAACATCCACGAAACAAAGAAAGG